TTTTTTTTTTAAAAAAAAAATATAACCCGTCGGGTTGCTGGGTTGACCTATGAAAGCCCGACTCGCCCGACGGGGTATATGCGGGTCGGGTTGAACCTGGCTTGCCTTTTAGGCGGTCTGGGTTGAACTCGGCTTGATGTGGGCTGGGTTAGGGTTGCCAGTCTAACCTGACCCATTTGTTTCACCTCTAGGTGTGACAAAAGAGTAATACTATACCAACAACTTTTTCTCACAAACTTTCTTTCACAATCCTGATGTGACAGTTCACAATTGATCAGTTTGTAATTAATTAGTAGGGCCCATGCGAGATCCGTTGTGAACTGGCCAATTGTGAGCTACCATATCAGGGTTATTAGAGAAAGTTTGTGAGAGAATGTTGTTAATATAGTATTATTTGTGATAGAATAGTGTAAACTTAACATTATTTATTATTGAAGTAGGAAAGAATGGATTGACATGTATGAATAACATTATGCTTACAATTCAATCATACAATCAGACAAAAAACATAAAATAGAATAGTCATGTAAAATTTTTGTTTGATTGTATGACTCAGTTATAAACATAGCATTATTCAACATGTATTACCATAAAGTTGAATTTTAATTAAATATTTTATTGAAAACATATTTAGTACCATACTATAATATATTTCACAAAATTTTTATATATTCTTATTGTCATGGTGTTAGATATACTTTTTAATAGTTTATTTTATTGTTCAGGGTTATATGTGGATAGACATCCTCTTACGTAGACGTCTTGAAGTTTTTAATGTACAGATCAAAGGTAAACGTCTAATCGCTCACTTCACAGACTCTAAAATTAAAACCAGCAACTAGACGCTCATCTTTGGTTCACACATTAAAAACTTTAAGACTTATGCACCTAAGAATTTTTCTATATATAGATGGAACATGTAATTACAATCGTTGTGGTATCAAAACCAACATGTATCATTTAGATGAATATAAGAACAACTTTTTCTATCATCTTTTTTTGTCATGAGCAAATATATCATTTGTATGGTTCCATAATTTATTAAAAGATCTTCTTTGTGATAAACATTATAAGAAACTTATAATAAAATTTTTATTTTTTATTAAATTAAGTAAATTACGACAATCCATATCTACCTGTATATCTATTTAAGAGAATTTCCAAAAATTAAACTCAAAACTTGATTAAATAAGTAGTGTTGTTATGAGTAAAATTAGTTCACGCTATAATCCATTTAATTTAAATAATTTTTTTCATCCCTCTGCTATATATTTATAATGCTTTGTTTGACATATCATAAAATGCTAGAATAAAAATGAACGTGGGTTAAAAATTAATATGTCATTACAAATTTAGTTTTCAAACAAAACTGAGTTTACAATAAGGTTTTGAATAATACTGCTCTTATAAATACAATGTCAATTAGTTAATTAAAGATAAATGATATGTCCATTACATCAGTTTATATTCTTAATTTTGTATACAAACTTTATAAAAGTAACAACACCATTTTTTTTTTTTTTTTTGTGAAATCTATTTCCTTAAAAAATGAACCGAATGGGCTTTAATGGATTGAAACTTTAGAATTGAATCATGAAGCCCATCAAACAGACATCAAAACTAGCCCCTTAAACTAGCAGCAATTCAAACTTGACAGTACAGTGACCAACCTAAACCCTAGTACCCTCATAACCATCCGAAACGCCGAGTTTGTGACTATGGCACAGTTCCCTTCACAACAAATCTAATCAATCCAATATAGTATCAGGTTATCTTCAAACAAGGAGGAAAATTAATTGTAATGACTTCTCAAGTTTGCAATTGACAACATAAACTTGAAATTTTTTTTTTTTTTTTTTTTTTTTTTTGTGAGTTTGAAAAAGTAGCGTGGCACACTTAAGTATCATTAGAGATGCAAAAAGGGTTAGAGTGCAAGGATTTAAGCATATATGGGTAATAGTATAATAAACTTAAATTGCTTTAAATTTTGAAAATAAAAACAAACTCTCCCCATTCAAATCGCTTAAGTGACTTGACAAACACAACCACCTTCTCTTGCGATTTTTCTTCCCGTTTTCCGGCATTGTTGAAATTTTTGCTTTTTAGATTGAAGACATTCCCCTGTTAGTTACAAACAAACAATGGCTCAGATTAACAAAGAATCTGAGGAAAACCCAACCCCTCTCCAAATTCTAGACGCCGGTGGTTGTTCGAAGATTGGAGAAGAAGAGGTTTCGGTGGAGCAACTTTTGATAACTGAAGTTGCTCCATCGGCAGAGGACATACCGTTGGCAAAAGACACCATGCCGACAACAAAAGAGACGACAAACACCCAAAATGGATCTGAAGACGAGGACACTAGCACAAATTTCGGCGAAGAGGTGGAAGAAGAGGAAGAACAGGTAATATTCCTTACTATTTTATGAAGATATGGTTGTTGGTGCCAATTTGAGGATATTTGGTTTGTGTTGGTTGTTAGGGTGATTGTTATATTTTTTCAAACAGTTGGAAGGCATTGGGGGAGTGGGTGTTTTTGGCTTCCAAAGGACTGGGGAAGCTAAGAGAGGCCGTAGGGAGATTGTTTGTAGTAGGTTGGAGGGCTGGATTTGGCAGAAGGGAGCAGAATAGGGGGGGCTGGGTGTTTGCCTGCATATTGTAGCGCTAGCCACATGCAGCTGCCCGTGGCCAATCCTGCAATATGTAGGCAAGGCCCCCCCCCCCCCCCCTTCTCCTATTTCACACTCTTTTGCCAACTCTAGCCATTTAACCTGCCATAACAACCTCTATAGGGCCTGCCTTGGCTTCCCTGGTCCTCTCGAAGCCAAAAACACACACTTCCTGATGCCCTCCAAGCCCATATCCCCCAGATTGGCAATCTATTGCTTCTTTTGGTTTCTTTTTATGCTGATATTTAGTTTATATCGATTGTGTCGTGTTGTGGAAGCATAAACATAAGGAGTGTGGGCTTGAGGTTATTATAGATACTATACCAAACTTCACCACAAGGGTGACCATAAGGTCAAGTTTGCAAGCGTTTACTAGAATAAAGGAGATTCTAGGTGGGCAAAGGAGAGGCATGGACCGATTCAAAAGTAGTTGTTTTGGTCATTTTGTGGACTTAGGTGAAAATTGGAATAAGGGGTTCTGGGGGTAGGTAGCACACAATCTTTTGATACACCCTGTTAAATGCAAAAAAAGAAATGAAATGTGGTTTGTGGTGGATGGGAAGTTGCTGTGTTTTGGGATGATGGAATTTACCTTGATGACAGGCCTAAATTGTGGGTCAATTCCAGAAGCAGAAGTGGAAGAAAGGGTAAAGAAGAGCAAGACAACCAAAACTTTTGTTAGAAATGCTTTGGGGGATGGGGGTAGTAGTCTGTTTCTGCTCATGATTTAGAGGAGAGGTTAGAAGAAGAAGGCAATAATTATACCATTTCAAAGAAGTTCAAAATTTGCTTAATATGGTTTGTGCATTCTATCCTAATGGCTTGTGACTCAACGAAAGCCGTTAATCTCGGTTGGGTGCAATTTACTAGTAATAAGGAGTTTTTTAATTCTTATCTGTGGGGAAGGTTATCATTCTAGTTAACCATTGATTCCCTGTGAGGAAAAGATATGGCGATAAAACACCACCGATATGTTGAGAAGGAGAAAGCGAGCACTTACAATTTGTTTGGCTTTCCATGGGCAATGTAGGTAAATATTAATAGGTTTTTGTTATATTTTTTGTATTATATGTGTTTTCAATTTGATATGGATTATTTTTTTACAATGTAGACTTGGTTGTATGAGGCTATCCATGTCTTGGCTAAGGTTGGGGCGGGGGGCAAGGGTTGGGGGGGGGGGGGGGTGGTGGGGGGAGGGGAAGATGGATGAGCCATCGCAATTTCCTAGGATGTTGCGGTGGCATACTGAGAAGAGCGCCCATTGGGACTATGAAAAAATTGAAGTGGAAATTCAAGTGGCTCGGGTAAGATTAAATGATTTGTGTTTTGAATATGTACTTGTTTTTAAATATCGCATAAATTCGATTGATTTTTTTTCTTATTGCAGGGAGTTGTCTATCCGTTCATCATGCTTACTAGGGGTGAATTGGAAGTAGATTATGTTACTTTGTTCGTACCATTGGACGATGTTTCTGATAAGGAGATAGATCGCCTAAGGCGGAACCTAGACAGGGTCACACATGTGAATGTGAATACAGCTGTAGGGTCGCTTGTCAAGCATGTGTTTGAGGTCGAAGCTTTAGTAGGCGAGATAGAGGAGGATGAAGACATGGATGCTCAAGTTCGTACGCCTCCTCCCAATTGGCAAACATGTATAACAAGTATTGATTTGCCAAGGCATCTGCAGAATGAGTTAGTTGACCTCATAAACGGCCTAGACCGCAATTTTGACAGTTTTAACACCACCATTTTGTGAGAAGTTTGATAAAACGGAAGAGAGTATGCAAAGGGTGAAGGAGAAACTTGTTGGGGTTTTAGAAATGGTTGAAGTGCAACCTAAGAAAAGAGAGAGCTGAAAGAGCAAGCATGTGAAATCTCCATTCACGGAAATAAGGCATGAAAAAAAAGGGGAGAACTAAGAAAGATAAAGAGCAAGTCGGTGGAAGTGGAGAAGCGAAAGAGGATGATGATAAGGAGGAAGGCGAAGGAAGTGGGGAAGTTGAATTAAAGGATTTAAAGGTTGATTTGTTTAAGCCAATAGATGAGGAACATAAAAAATTATTTTATGCCTATTGCAATGACGAAGGAAGTGACGTTCGTGTAAACTGCAAGACTGGGAATTATCCCCGGGAGTGATTTGATAAGATGTTGAGAATGAATTGTTGGCTTGACGACTCAGAGATTTTCTCGTCTTGTTTTTGCTTATGTTTCCCATTAGGTATTTTTATGATCACTTAAGCGATCTTTTTTTTCTAAATATATCGCTTGTGTTTGGCAAGACACTTATCATGTTGTAGTGATTTGATGCTGCACATCGATGAGGTGTTGACATTGATGAGGGTGCAACAGAGCACCAATGGTGATAATTTTTATCAGCATTGTGTCATCACCGATGTGTCCGTTGGCCAAGGCCTAGTGAGTATATATGAGACATTAGTGAAAAAGGCCAATGATAGAGGTGCAATAAGGGGAGGCAAGCGAAAAAGAATGGTCGTAGAGGAGTTTGATGGTGTCCTTGTTGATTATTGGTTTGATGAGGGGATGATGCAGTATGTGAGGGGGGAAATGCCCAAATATGGCAACAGTTGGGCAAAGGTGAAAAAGGTATATTGCATCGTGAACATCAAGCGGATGCATTGAATAACCGTTGTTTGGCTACTAGAGGAGGGCTTGTTGCAGATCTTTGATTGCAACCTGAGTATTTGTTAGGAGAGAGAGTTGGACATGAGGATGCAGCTGCTGTGTAAGTTATTTTCGTGGTTATTGCGAGACAGTGGGATGTTTAAGCACTTGGGTTATGAACTACTACCGGGAAAGTGGCCACACAAGCACTTGGGTTATGAACTACTGACGGGAAAGTGGCCACACAAGCACTTGGGTTATGAACTACTGACGGGAAAGTGGTCACACAAGCGCGTTCCTGTTTCGACTAATGACGTGAGTAAATTGTGTATAAAACTTACATTGCTATATAATCTAATTCTAATAGTATTGTCTTCCTCATATTGTAGTGCTGATTGGGGGGTATATGCACTCAAACTTCTTGAGTTCAGCATGACTAACACCCCAATGGACAACTTGATTGATGATACAATGAGCAACTTTCGGGAGTGCTTGGCTGTTGAGTGCTTTCACAGTCAGATGGATCCCCTAGTTACTACAGACTCTGCTTAGGTGGTAGGTGCTTTATTTCTTTTATACTATTGGTTTGAGCAACAACGCTGAAGTTTGATACTTGCCATTCATATTAAATTTCAGTTTCTGATCTATTTTTGTGTATATGGTTTGAACTTCATAGATTTGACCACTTTTGTTCTCATTTAGAAACTGCACTTCTCATCTATTTTAGTCATTTGGGGCCTCCTTGAAGAAGAACAAGTGCGAAAGAAGAAGAGAGAGTGAAAGACCCAAAGCCAGAAGTTGCTAGCAAAGCTTCGTGGGCACAAGAAGATATGCTTGTGATAACTAATCTGTTTTTAAAGTTCCTTTTATTTTTAGACTCTATTTGGCTTTGAGGAAGGATTTGACAGATGTGTACCAGTTCCTTGCATGGTTTATGGGTATAATGTAGGCATGGATATAATGTACCAGTTCTTTTATTTTGTGTTTGTTGGTGATGTTGTAGACAGGGAACATTGAGTCATCGGCTCAATTTACTCTTAATGAACTAGTCGGCCAAGTCTATTGCATGGTTATTGCTAATGAAATGCTATTTGCTGGGGCACAGGTAACTTGAACAATTTACATTATTTTCTACAATGGATATGGTTTTAGTGTTTTCATTGTTAATACAAATTCTATTGATGGTTGTTAGGATTGTGAAGCATGCCATGTAAATTATCCACCTTTTGACTGACCAGAACCCAATCCAAGTTATTGTTGATGCTGTCATCAACAAATATGGAAGTTAGACTTATAGTTTTGTAATTAATCTGAATTGCATTTCTTATATAGATAATTGAGTTGTCTTGAATTGGATCAGCTGGTGTTGTTAGACGTCAAGCTGTTGATATTTCTCCATTGAGATAAGAATCCTGATCGTAATGAAATTTTTATTTGATGGGTGGGACTTTGAAATTAGAATTTTAATCTTCAAATACTTGATGCCTTCCTTTGATAACTAAGGATGTCCCCACTGGAGAGCTTCCAAGGAACCTGCTTCTCTCAGTTGATCGCCATCTTGTTCAAACAATTGTACCTGGGACAAGATTGACCATTATGGGGATTTACAGTATTTTTCAAGCTGCAAATTCATCTGCCTCGTAAGAATCATTGCACCTTGAGAAATGGAGTTATAATATATCTTAACTGTATTCCATTGCTGATTTTTTTTTTTTTTTTTGCTATTATTTTATTCAGTCATAAAGGAGCAGTTGCAGTCCGACAACCTTATATCAGGGTTGTAGGTTTAGAAGAAACAAACGAGGCCAGCTCTCGAGGTCCTGCTTTCAAGCCAGAGGAGGTAAGAAGTGAAATTATGTTGAACACTTCATCTAAATTGTACCATCATCTCTACAGTGCAGCACCTATTCACGGGTGTGCATTCTCGTAGATGGTTTTCTTATAAATAAATATTTTCTTCATTGTGGTACTCATTTACAAGTCCTTTTTTTTTCTTTGGATTGAGAAAAGCAAACTCTAAGCTAATTGATAGCTGATTTTTGTGAAATTTTTATTTGAACAAAACTATAATGTGGTTGGAGGTTATGATGCATGACCAGATAGTGGTGGGTTTTATCTTCATTAGATTCCCAACTTCTTAGAGCTTGTGCCTTTTTCTTCTCAAACTTTTTTCATTAACTGAGTCCTTTGTTAATAATATCCCTATTCATATGTACCAAGTGTCGATCAATGAAACCTAGAAAAAAAAGAGAGCAAATATTTCTTGAAGAATGATATGATCCTGTCATGGGAGTCCCTTTTTCATATTGTAAATTGCTTTAATAATTTCACTACTTGCAGATAGAAGAATTCAAAAAAATTGTTTCAGAACTGGATGCATATAAAACAATATGCTCTAAAATTTCTCCCTCCATATTTGGTCATGACGATGTGAAGAAAGCTGTGGCTTGCCTTCTGTTTGGAGGATCAAGAAAGGTATATCTTGAACTTTGACCGTTTGATGCTGATCTAGTTTATTGATTTCATAATTAATTTATTTGTGAATACAAAATTTGCCGGATGGTGTGAAGTTAAGAGGTGATATCAATGTCCTGCGTTTGGGAGACCCATCTACTGCTAAATCACAGGTTAGTATTATATATTTATATCAGTTCTGGGTATATAGATTTTTTAAAGTCACTGTTCGGCGGTTGCTTTGCAGTCTGTGTTTTTTCTGCTCCCATTGAAAGGTTCTTAATTTATATGTAAGCCTTTTTTGTCTAGGTATGATAAATTTTAATTCAAGAGAATTCATTCTCTTGCTTCTTTTGCCACACCAGTGCTGATTTTATGTTTACCTCTTTTAGTTTCTCAAGTTTGTCGAGAAGATATAGCAGTTTACACTCCTGGGAAAGGTTCATCAGCTGCTGGTCTTACAGCTTCAGTGATCCGAGATAGCAGTTCTGTAAGTTCTTGATCTTCTGTGTTAATACAATTTATACTGTTTATTTTATTCTTTCCCCGTACTTCACGGAAATTATTTTTCCAGTTGATTAATAAATTCCTGTTAACTTGAATTAATTAGTTTGTTGACATCATTTCCTTCCAAATCAGCGTGAATTTTATCTTGAAGGAGGAGCCATGGTTTTGGCAGATGGTGGTGTTGTCTGCATTGATGAATTTGACAAAATGAGATCAGAGGATAGGTAATTCAAAGTATAATTAGAATTTGAAAACTACATTTCTCCATCTATGATTATGGCTCCTTAAGAGTTTTTCTTTGTGTAGCTTAGGGTTGCTATTCATGAAGCCATTGAGCAGCAGACAATATCCATTGCCAAAGCAGGAATAACAACTGTACTCAAATTCAAGAACCTTAGTTCTTGCTGCTGCTAACCCTTCATCAGGACGTTATGATGATCTTAAGGTCAGTGCAGCATCTGTTGTTTTACTTGGATTTGTTTCTCATTGTCATACCATGGTTTCTGCTTAAGTAACTAACAAAGTTTCAGACAACCATTTTTCTAGATTTGATTTAATTTTTATTGTTAAAGATGTCAGGATGTACAGTCAGGACAAGGTAATATACCACACCTTGCTCAGCTATTAAATTCCCTTAAATCTGTTTCTGAAAGTAAATTTCTATTTGTGTAGCTTATTGCTAGCCATATCATAAAAGTTCATGCATCTGCAGATGCTGTCTCAGGTGACAGCAAAGCTTCTAAAGAAGAGAATTGGCTGAAGAGGTATATATTTCGATTCAACTCGGGCATATGTTCTTCACAGGTGCTACTTAAATATATATAACATGCTCAACTGTTGAGTTACCATTTTGGCAGGTATATACAATACTGTAGAGTTGAATGCCACCCCTGGTTATCAGAATCTGCATCAGCACAGCTTCAGGATCAGTAAGTCCAAATAAGAAAGGTATTCTTGAACTTATGTCATAATTCTCTCTATTAAGTTGAGCAGAAGTATATTCTTTCAAAAACATTGCTACATTTTTATTGTGAGAAACTTGGGGATTACCATCAATTATTCCAATTCTGGAGTAGTTTGGGTGTTGAAATAAGACACTTATTGGATGGTCAGACAATTATAATGTGAAGATCAAGTGTAGGACTGATGGTCCCTAGTCTGCTTACCAATAATAGCTATTATCATGATTATGCTTGCAGGACATGAGACGGCAGGCAAATGAAACTAGTGAGGCTGCTGTAATACCCATTACTGTAAGGCAGCTTGAAGCTATCGTAAGGTTAAGCGAGGCACTTGCTAAAATGAAACTGTAAGTACTGGCTTTAAACTTGAGATTTTAAAAAAACTAAATCGTAGCCCATAGATTTTCTCAAGTTTTTGTCTTTCCCTGTATGTGGTTAGAATCCCTATAACTGACTTGCCATTCTTTCATGAACCATGATATTAGGTCCCATGTTGCGATGGAGAATGAAGTTAATGAAGCAGTAAGACTTTTTACTGTTTCCACAATGGACGCAGCACGGTCTGGAATACATCAACAAGTGAATCTTACTGGCGAGATGGCTAATGAGATAAAGGTTGGTCCATATGCATTATGATCGCCATTCTACTTTCTTTTGCAAGCCCCCCCAAGACTTCCCATTAACCATTGGTTCCCTTTATACTGCAAACCAAAACCCAGATAAAGAGAAGACTGGGCATTGGAAACGAAATATCAGAGAGAAGATTGATTGATGATCTCACTAGAATGGCCATGAATGAATCAATAGTAAGTACTTATTTCAATGTTCATGTTCTTTTACCTTCTAATCAGAGGAGAAGACATTATGAGTCTGACTTACAATTGTTTTCAGGATGACTCGCGTATTATTGGAGTGTGATGCTGGAGAAAAATGTACTTAAGAAATGCTTCTCAGTAAAGTTTATACATTGTTACTTTGGCTAATTGTTCATTAGATATCATTTTTACGGCTAAATCTCTTCTGAGTTAAAAAGTTTTGATGTTTGAACTGAGATTGCCATTTACATTTTAGCAGGTAAGAAGAGCTCTTATAATTATGCACCAGAGAGATGAAGTTGAATACAAACGAGAAAGGCGGGTTATTTTCAGGAAAGTTCAATCAATCCTCTGTAAAGTCCCTCAAAGTGTATGTTATCTGTTTACAGTTAATAGATTCTTAGTCCCATAGGACATCTTTTTAAGAAAGTAAGAAAAACGGTCCCTAATCGTAACTGAAGTTAGAGTAAAATGATTCGAAAAGAGTGTTTTTGACATTTTGTTACGGCCAAAAATCGTCTTGGGCTTGACGAGGTCTAATAACGAAATAAATATGTCATGGCCCCAGGCCTCAACCCAATGCCGATTGGGCCTACGTTTAAAATCACCTTGCGAACTACCCACTCTATGAGTTGAGCTATCCTATAAGTTAAGCTAAACTCGTGTAACGCCCCACTTGAGGTACGTAGTTACTGTTCCTTCGTTGTTCTTATTTGAGATGGTATCGTGATAATATTGTTTGATTGACATTAGTATGAGTGTTGTGTGGATTAATTGCCTTGAAATGGGTTAAAAATAGAAGAAGTGTATATGCCGAGCTTCGCCGGGGCGAAGAAGAATCTTCGCCGCGGCGAAGATGTGTTGAAACCACCGGAAACTCTCTGGACGGTTTCGCCGC